CCCCCCCCCCCCCCCCCGCGCGCCCTCCCTCCCCTCACCCCCGGGCGCCTGCATCCGCTCCAGGTGAGTACCTTGGGGAGGAGTCCCCAAAACCGTCCCTTTCGGGGTGACGCTGCGTCCTGCCCCACCGCTTGGGGTATGGGTGCTTGGGGACCCCCACAGCACAGGCAGGGTGCGAGGAGGGGCCCCAGGAGCGGCAGCCCCGGAGGTTTCGGGGTGCTCTGGGGGGAGCTGGTCCGTGCAGGACGCGGCCGGGTCCTCAGCCGCCTCCTCCAGCCCCGCAGCCGGTTTGGTTTCTGTTGCTTATCTCCGCTCGTGCAGTGACTTGTCCCTCTGCTCTCGTTTGCAGAAAACCTTCACCCCCAACATAATTAGCAGGAAGATCAAGGAAGAGTAAGTGGCCTCGTAAGCGTTTTCGTGGGGCGCGGAGCCGGTTTTGCCGGCGGGTACCTGCGTGGCGGGGTCTCGGTGGGCAAAACGTGCCCTGAGATGGGGACCCGCTGCCAGGAGGGTGGCAGGGGGCAGGGGGGTGACAGGCCGCCTCCCCGCTCCCCAGGCCCAGAGAGGATGTCTCCATCAAGAAGGAGAAGAAGGAGCGGGACCGGGATCGGCAGCGCGATGGGCACGGCCGGGGCCGGGGCCGGCCCGAGGTTATCCAGTCCCACTCCATCTTCGAGCAGGGCCCTGCTGAAATGATGAAGAAGAAAGGTAACAGGAGCTGCCCCCCTTCCCCGGGGAGGGGTCTCGGGTCCATCCTGCCCGGCTCGGGGCTCACCCCGGGGCTGCTCCCCTCTCCCCAGCAGGCTCCTGGGACAAGACGGTGGACATGTCGGACTTTGGCCCTTCCCACATCATCAACATCAAGAAGGAGAAGAGGGAGACGGACGAGGAGACGAAGCAGATCCTGCGGATGCTGCAGAAGGACGATGTGAGTGGGGCTGGGGGGGTGGCTTTGGTGCCACCCGGCCGGTGCTGAGTGTCCCCTCTCCCGTCCCCGCAGTTCCTCGATGACCCGGGGCTGAAGAACGACATCCGCAACAAGCCGGCGCAGCTGCCGCTGGGCCCTCCGGG